GAATCTGACATCAAATTTTCAATGTTCAAAACGTATTAGGAATTATTTAAGATATAAGTATTTCATTAAGGAACAATGAATAAATTAATAATAGAAAATTTTGTGTTAATAGATTATTTAATATAAATATAAATATTAAATAATCTATTAACACAAAATTTTCTATTATTAATTTATTCATTGTTCCTAATACGTTTTGAACATTGAAAATTTGATGTCAGATTCGTGTTTAGCGACCTTAAAAACCCCTGAGTGACAAGTTTCAAGTGAATTCAAGCACTTTTTTATACTTCTTCCACCATATTGGATCCGCCATCTTGAATTTTTTATTTTGCCACTTTGCATTTTAAAGTAGATGTAATTACCTAAATTTTAAGCCTTAGTAGAACTCTTTTCGTTTAAACCAATTCTGGGGGTGGGGGGTCTCTCGTTGACGTAGAATGCCCCATATATATATATACACACATATATATATGCATGTATATTACAATTAACAACAGATACCTAAAGAAGACCAAGTAGCATTTGAATACTCGATTATTTATCGTACGACAGGAGATTGCTGTTTTTCGCACACTTCATCATGGATTGAATTAACTTGACAAATCCAGTATCCTTTGGCTTTTCCAGACCGCGCAGCACACGGTTCTTCATCACAGCAACAAATTCTCGATTGCTAAGTTGTCCGTCCACTGTGGAACAAGATCCATCATAAACAATTTAATCATTTTTTAAATACATTTTACATATTTAATATACATTTAAGATACATTTAATGCTATATCATGCTATAATTTGTAAGAAAATTAAACTTTTCTTATAGCGTTTTTTCTTGGCTGCACTATCGCCCACTAGTGTAATACTCAGACAGTGTACCATGTTTCCATAGCTGGTGATAAGCGAACTCATTCGGTGTACCGTGTTTCCGTGGCTACGGTGTAGTGCAAATTTTATGCACGAAGTGGGATTTTGCTACACCGTCTCAAAGAGACCGTGTAGCACCAGTGTGACATTTAATAGCGTTTTCCACTGGGAAAATTGGTGCAACACTGGTGCGCACTGAGTGCAATTGTGTTGTTCCACTGTGAAAACTAGTTCAGTGTTTAATGTTCTATTGATAAAACTGGTGCAAAAAACTTGCACTGAGTTCAACTTTTGCTCCACTGTCTTTGAAGTCAGTGGAGACCAGTGTAAGTTGAAATTGAGGTTGTGTTCGTGCTAAGGTATGATATTATATTATGATATGATATTACATTATTGTAATTAATGTTATAACAATGACATTGTTTAGTTTCAATGTTTCTAATAATAGCTATGCAATGACATTTTGACTTTTAAAATTCTTTAAATGTAAAAATTTAATTAAAAAAAATGTTTTAAATAAATAAATGAATCAGAATATTGTAAAATAAATAATTTGAATTTGAACATAGTTATATATTATATATTTTTAGGGGTGAATAAAATGGATGTCTAATGATATGTTTTATTGAACCGCACTAAACCTGCATTATGACTGCACTAGTGCAGTTTTCATCTAACACGGCGCTAGTGCTGCACCAGTTTTTCCAGTGGAAAACGCTATAAAATTTGAAAATAAAAGTCAAGCGAGAACAGAGTTTTAGCATAATAATGATACAGTGTACACCATGGTGTGCGTGCATCTAGTGTATAGTGTAACAGGCACTGTAGTTGAGTGTAGCGCTTACACGCAACTGGTGCGGTGTGAGACTGCACCCAGTGTATCCCAAGAGAAAACGCATTAGTAGAGTCAGGAAGGAAGACTAAGGTCCGTTTCCACCAACGCAGATCAACTTTAATCTCGGTTCAACTTACTCTTTGTCTTTTTCTAGTTCTAAAGATTAGAAAAAGACGAAGAGTAAGTTGAACCGAGATTAAAGTTAATCTATATTGGTGGAAATGGGCATAAGGAGACTCCACTTATGTAAATAAAAATGGACCCATTTTGCGTTTCGAGTTAAGTTTCGATTCCCGACACTCGCGGCGCTTGTGAACCTTTAAGACCTGCGCGTAATGAATGCACATTTTAGGAAAAAGTGTCACGAAATTTAACCCTTCCGTGAAGGCGATTTGATTGTCCCATCTGGTCCCATCAAGAAAGACAGTTATAAATTGAGCCTAAGTAAATATTTATTTTATTTATGTTTTAAGAAATATATTATTCTTTCGTAATCCGAAGAATACGCGTTAGCGTTTGCATTGTCAAATTGTAATCTACATGTGGAATTGTTGGTATATGCATGTTACTCGTAAATTACACAAAGAAACTTGTGTTTCATTGGCGCTGCACAGTAGAGTGGCATTGTTCTCCTTAGGAATATACTTTAAATATCCAGATTCTTCTTCGAAAATCGGAGATAAAAGTGTTTTTCAGGAAAAAAGTCCTGGGTACCTATTATGGAAATAATCGGAATGGATTCCGATCGGAATTATTCAATTATTCCCTAGATTTCTATTGTGTTTTCTGGGGAAAACGAAATAATTCCGATCGGAATCCATTCCGATTATTTCCATAATAGGTACCCTGGAAAGACTTTCCTTGTTTCTTGTTTCTTTCTTCCAACCATATCTAACTATGGCGCATTCATTAAGTGCAGGTCTTAAAGGTTCACAAGCGCTGCGAGTGTCGAGAATCGAAACTTAACTCGAAACGCAAAATGGGTCCGATTATCGAGGACTGGTTAGACTGAGTGCAGGGTTGGGCACGTATCAAACTCAACGTATCATACGTGGTTTCATACATGGACGAAACTATGTATAATACATCATAAGTTTCAGCCATGTAGTAAAATGGCGCTGGTTACGTGCACATCACACCACATCACACGGGCACAGAGGCTGCGGTCCACTTGTAACGTAACCTCAAACTATATTATACTGATTTACATATTCCAAATCTACAAAATAAAACAAATAAGTACTAAGCAAGTAATTAGCAGTCATGAATCGAGGAGGTAGACCTCTACATAAATACTGGGAAGAAGGCAAATTTAAAAAAATATATGAAGACGAAAACTTTGTTTTGTCTTCATATATTATATTTATTATCAAAATGAAATTGACAGCCTGTTTTAACAGTGTCAACGCTGTTAACCTTCATTAATTAGCCTTGTCTAGTGCTGTGCTGTAACCGTGTAACCTGTATTTCATGAGAAATGGGTTTAATACATGTTTTGTACGTATTATACATTTCCTACGTAGGAAATGTAGGAAACCTCTCGCAGCGCTAAATTTCCCAACCCTGACTGAGTGGAGTCTCCTCTTTCTTCGTGAGTAGAATATACAGGGTGTCCCATTTTAAATGATCCAGCCAAATATCTCGAAAACTAAACCCAGTAGACAAAAATGTTTCAGACAAAAGTTGTTTGACTCGAAGGGGGACATAAGATGGTGCCATCGATTTGACTTGGGATAGTCCTCTAAGGGTCACGTGAAGATCACCTTTAATTTTTTAAATGGAACCCCTTATTTCTCATTGCACATTCTTACAGCTCATCTCGAGAGCTTTCTAAAACACTATAATTAAGTTACTTTTCGTTATGTACTAGTTAAGTTATAAATATCGACATCTAGAATGGACCGCTGATGGCAATGGTGGGGGTAGAAAGACGATTAGAGTGAGAG